GGCCAGCCCCGCTCTCTCCCACCCCCTCCCAGCCAGCTCTGCTTCCCACCGGCCGGTTTTTCCTCCTTCCCCACCCCTGATCTCCCCCGGCCAGCCCCATTCTCCCCAGCTGGTCCTCCCCCTCTCCCCGCCCCGATCTGAGATCAAGTGTGCCCAGTATTTTTTTGAAACCATCTGGTAACCCTAACTGTGGCCCTGCTTCTCCCCCAACCAACCAGGGATCCCTGGGGAGAGGGCTTGTCAGCAGCCCCATTTCTGTCACACTTCACCAGGGATCCCTGGGGATAGGGCCTGCCAGCTGCCCCTTTTTAGCCACTGGTGGCCCCCCTACTGCCCCACCTGGCTAGGGCTCTCCGGGGACAGGGCTTGTCAGTCCTTCTGCTGTCCCACACAACTGGGGCTCCCCAGGGACACCCACTAGGGACTGTCAGTCCCTTGCTGGTCCCACTGGCCGGGGCTCACCAGGGTCGGGGCTTCCAGCCAGTTCACACTCCCGGGTGCCAGAGCTCTCTGATCTAGCAACATCTGTGGTTCTGTTGGACCACGGATGTTGCCAGACCAAAGTATCCTGGATTTTGGAGGTGCAGCCTGTATTGGTTTGAACCCAGAAATCAGATTCTGAGCATTTTCTCAACTCTTGGCTCATAACCATCTTCCCCCTGGACTGGAAAGGGATTCATTGGAGGTTCTGGCATATATCTAGTAGTAATAAGTGTGTTTACCATTTCCACTGGCACCATTTCAGACTTTGGTGGGGGTGGTGACCTGTGCATGCTGTCATGGGAGGGGGAGATAGTGAAAGCATGGGAGGCAGACTGAGAACAGCAGCTTCAGTGGTGGTACTCAGCATGCTCACTACAAGCCAAGCACCAAATGGGGGAGAAGCAATTCCTTCCACCCCCCTCCCAAGCCCCACATCATCTCCATCTCTGGGCTACTAAGGCACTGGAAAACTCTGCATTTTGGCAGTCAGCTTAGCAGTTAGCAGGTGCACTTTATCTAATTCCTACATAAAAGAAAGAATATTAAATAAGTATAAGACACACTCAGCTCTAACTATAGCATATTCTGATATCTTGTAGCAAGTCACTTAAGGGACACTTGGTTAGCCTTCGAATTTTAATGTATATTCTTACTTTGTTACTAACTGGGGAGCGAGAGACCCTGTCAGGACTCCTGGGCTCTCTGTAGGTCTGGAAGGGAAGTGGGGTCAAGTGGATTACAGCAGGGGGCAGATACATTTCAGTTCTATAGAAGAACATCAGAATGGCCATACTGTGTCAGGACAAAGGTCCTTCTAACCCAGTATCCTGTCTTCCAACAGTGGCCAATGCCAGGTGCTTCAGGAGAGATAAACAGGAGAAGCAATCATCATGATCCAGCAGAAGCAAGGGACACTATCCCTGCCCATTCTGGCTAGTAACCATTGATGGACCTATCCCCCTTGAACTTATTTTGTTCTTATTGGAACCCTGTTATAGTCTGGGCCTTTCCACCATCTCCTGGCAAAGAGTTCCACATGTTGACAATGAAAAAATAAAGTATGTTGTTTATTTTACATCTGCTGACCACACATTTAATTGGGTCAGCTTCTTGTATTATGTCAGTGAAGAAATTAATAACATTTCCTTATTCAATTTTTCTACACTGTTCATTATTTTCTAGACTTCTAACAGATCCCCAATGGTCTATCTAGCCTTGTACCCTGTCTTCTGACAATGGCTAATGCCAGGTGATTCAGAAGGAATAAACAGAAGAAGCAATTATGATGTTCTGTCCCCTACCACCTATTTTGTTTGTCTGCCTGCTGCCTATAAATTTAATTTGGTCATCTTCTTGGAATGAATAACATTTCTTTATTCTATTTTTATTCTATTTTTCATGATTTTCTAGAACTCTAACATATCCCCCCTGCCCTTTAATCATTTATTTTTCAAGCTCAAAAGTCCCAGTCTTGTCAATTTGTCCTCATATGGAAGCTGTTTCTTACCCCCTAATCATTTGTGTTGCACTTTCTGTACCTTTTCCAAACCAAATATATCTTTTTTCAGATGGGGTGACCAGATCTGTATACAGCATTCAAGATGTGGGCATACAGTGATTATATATATAGGCAATGTGGTATTTTGTCTTATCTATTCCTTTTCCTAATGATTCCCAATATTCAGTTAGCTTTTGAGTTTTTAAACTGCCACTGCACATTGAGCAGATGTTTCAGGGAACTATCCACAAGGATCCCAAGATCTCTTTCTTGAGTGGTAAAAGCTATTTTAGACTCCCACCATTTTTGTTTCTATAGTTAGAATTACACTTTCCACCATGTGCATTACTTATCAACACTGAATTCCATCTTATCAACACTGAATTCCACCTGCTTCTGTGTTGCCCAATCACCCAGTTTTGTGAGATCTCTTTGTAACTCTTTGCAGGAAGTTTTGGATTAGTCATTGTTTACCCCTTTTTAAAGAACATTTATGAGAAGTTTAACAGCAGTGATCCAAATGTAGATCCCTGTAGCACAGCACTGATTCCTGTACACCCCCTCTCCCCCCCCCAATCTTTTAAATGGAACACCAGCAATGTTTTCATGATGCTCTTAACAATCCTTCAATTACCTGGCTAACCAGCCTTTCATTATTCTGAATCGCCCTGCTCCACCCTCTTTTTTATAGAAACTCCCTGTCTCAAAGACAAACCTGCAAGCAGCCCAAACAGTAGCATTTAAGAACTGCCTCTGGAGTCAGGGCATGGGCTTTAAGAAGACCTGAAGCATGAAATCCAGGAGTTCAAACTCATGAGGGGGAGCTACTGCCCCTAACATCCCCCTCCCCCCCCCCCAAAGGTGCCCCGGGCCATTTTACGATTATTATGGCTTGGGGCCTCAAATGTTATTCTAGTAAGACATCCATTTCACACAGCTTATACTATTTATCCATTTCAGATAGTGCCCATGCAAGGGGCAGGGTCTTCAGCCTCTAGGTATATCTATTCAGTATCATTCACAAGCACCAAATTCAAGAGGAGCCACACCCAGCATCCTTCACTCAGTCCTCGTGCAATAACAGTGGTTATCTGCAACAATCAAACCAGGCATCTTCAGCATGAGCCATGGCCACTTGAGTTATGGAATAACTCTATTAGCTGTTTCTAAGTACAGTAGCAGGCTCTTATTGAAACTAGTCACAAGAGGGAGACAGTCCTGGGAACTAAGGCAATGAAGTACAATTGATTAAATTCCTTCTGAACTCAAATGAAGAATAAGTCTATATGCCAATTTATTTACAGAAATTAAGATATCTGTGCCCCCCCAAACCAAAAAAAAAGACACATAACATCCCAATGTATGGAATTTATGGCAAATGGAACCATTTATTCACAACATTTTCCTATTAGTCAAGTCCTGTTCATGCTAATCCTCACCTCCATAGAAATCTCATGGAATCCACGATAATGGGCATCCTATTATAAATGTTTTCATGCTTTGGTACATGAAAAATATCCAGTTTTAATCATTATGCTTGAAAATGAAAAATATGGGGCTGATTGCCCTGTTCTTTTCTTGATAAGAGTCAGATGCAAGTGCAACCCCAGCGAAGCACTGACTTAAAACAGAAGAGAACCAAAAGTGTGCTTTTCCAGTCTTCTTAAGAAGTTCTAATTGGTACCTCTCTTGTAAGTAATGTACCCCAGCCAGGAGCATATTAGCTATATCAGCCCATATAGTAATAAAGTCAGCCTTGCATAATAATTATGTCCCCAATTCCTGGAGCATGATATATTGGGCGATAAATATTAGGCTACCTGTAACTAGAGTATGCGGAGGTGAAAACGCAGCACAAAGGATGTCATCTTGATGCTCTACTCCTCCTTTCCATTCTGAAGGCAGAACAAAAAACTGAGTCAAGCTGCTCAGTCGGAAGACCGTAATTTTTCTAAAAGGGACATACAAATAAAAACAACTTAAGTCAACCTAGTCATGTCAGACCAGTTCAGAAAAATGTCAGCTATTTTAAATATGATCATTTACTCTAATAATGTTAAATGAAAAGGTTCTGTGCTTTTGCTTTTCTTTGACACTGAATTTTTTCTGCATTACAATCCAAGCATAATACTTTCAGCAGATATTGTTCTCTCTCTCTCTCTCTGCAAAACAAAATATTGACTCTGTCTCCATCATAGCACATACAGCTCCCTACAGTGTCCGTAGCAAAACAAAATATTGAATCTGTCTCCATCATAGCACATACAGCTCCCTACAGTGTCAGTAATGAGAAGACATATACTCTAACCAGAGTTGAGATAAGATGAATCATTTTACTGATTCTAGAAAGTGTAGGAAATACAATAAAATAAATGTGCAGATTTTGACATTTCATGTGTCAAAAACTCCAAAACACATTGGATGTCATCTTTTCTCAAGACCTCACTTAAAATCTTGCACAGTTAAAATTTCACTTCCACTTCTTCCAGCTGCGATGCAACAAAACAGAGCAAACCTGATGTCCACATCCTAAATTAAATGAAATTCTCCCGTGACAATTTTCTCACTGATTCTGTTGTGGTCAACATCACAGAAAGTGTCACTATTTGCAATAATGAAAAATCCATGCATGTCTTTATTGGGTGAGTTTTATGTGTGGTTACTAGTCATAATGACCAATGTACTTCATGTTCTACATCAGTTAATATCAAAATTATCATTCCCTTCTCACCGGCAGAGCAAACATTCTTCTTAATGACATGTGCTGCCTTTGATTTAATGGCCAATATTTAATAGAGTATAAAAAAAGGCCTGCATTAAATCCATTTCACTTAGATTCACAGATTGGGCATCTGACCCACTATTATAATGAAGAAGGTTTGTGACAGAATTGTAGTAGGGGTATGACTTGTAGAGTAAAAAAGTTCTTGGTGGTGTCAATTTATCTTGGCCAATTGGCTGTAGCTTAAGATAAATTTAGTAAAACATCATACCACCTATGGGACAATGGCATAAGATCCACATCTTTTCCATCAACTAAAGCCCAAATCAACTATGAGGTTTTCCTAGGGATAAGGCTGCACTAATTCAGAGCTCTTGGAGACAGGCCGGAAGATAGGGTTGTCCTGGAATCTCCAGGAATTAAAGATGAATCTCTAATTAGAGATCATGTTATGAGATGAAAACTCCAGGAATTCATCCAACCAAAGTTGGCAACCCTAGAAGATAAGCATGGTCCAAACCTCTAGCTTCTATTTACTCACAGTCTGGGAGGGAACAAATTGAACCAGCTAATGATCAGGGGTTTCCAAACAGGTCTCATAAGGTGATGCAACATGGGTAATTCAGTTCATCTCTAGGAGTTAGAAGTGGAGTGTGAGGCAGCAGTAGTAACAAAAATTTGAGCATCACTTTCTGGAAGGATAATCAGAAAAAGGGCTCATCTTCACTACTGGCTAAATTAGTGCCTCTGTGATCAATGCAGCAGCATCAATTTAGCGGGTTTTGTGAGGATACAATAAGTCAATGGGAGAGCACTTTTCCATCAACTTCAGTCCTCCATCTCCCTGAGAGGCGGAAGCAATGTTGATGGGAGAGCATCTCCTGTAGACACAGCACAATGTAGACACTGCTATAACTCAATCTAAATTACATTGACTTAAATTATGTAATTTACATAATTTAACTAGCCTAATTTAGATCAATTTACCTCATTAATTTAGACCAGGCCAAAGACATTGACCTGAAAGTAACAGAGTTGTAACAAGCTGCTGGGAAAAAGCCATGTGACTTTAGTTGAAGTGCAAGTAATAAATCCTGTTGTTACAATCTACAAATTAGAAAGGACTGAAAGCCTTTCTAATTTATAGATTGTAACAACAGGATTTATCCCGGCTGCATGAGGCTTTGCATTCCATCCAGTGCTGACACGTTTTATTCTGCTCAAGTTTATTTACACTGCTTTTCTATTGCCAATGCCACATAAAATATGGTTTATTTAACCATGTGCTATTGTTGAATAAAATTTGCCACTAGGACATTCCTGAAAGAAGGAAACCAACATTCTGTTCCTGGTGATACCTACTTATGCCCCGTTACCTCAGAAGCATGGGCACAGAGGAGTCCATTCTCAAAGAGATACTGAAAGGATACTGTTCATTTAGAGCAATGGGAAAGCCTAGACCAGGAGAAGCATGAGGCTTTGGACATCTCAGGTAACAAGGCTGAATAATACTTGTCTGCTAATCCTCATAAACGAAGTGGGAACAGCTAGTCACCCAATGAAAATGCCACAATGCCCCCAGTTCACTAAAAACTCATTTACTTTTCTGTGGTCTGCTCTGAATATCACTGAAATTCAGATCAGTTAAGTGGATTTGAGTCACTAAAAAGTAACAATTGCTTTGCTTGCATGTGTGAGGAGCAGCAGTCTTTATAAGGTAAATTTATGTTTCTAGACTGAGCCTCAGGACATAAGCAACGGACAGTCTTGATATTAAAAGTCACTTTTTTCCTTTAATTCAGAACATTGCTGCGATATATGACAGGTTCATGGTCACCAAAGTAGATTTTATTTCTAGCTCTAGAGCTGTTAAAAGTCACAAAAATATATCTTTGGTTCTCAAAATTTCAAAGGTGATGAAATGACACAAAAGCAATTTATCACATCCTGTTCCTAACCTATTAGCATAATTCGACAGTGAGTAACTGCTCTATAAATTACCTCCTCAGGTATGGGAGCATCTGTATTCTCTGTGTTTTTTAATTTATAGACAGAATGCTTTTAAATTATGCTCTGCCATATACAATTTATCCTGGCATCTGCATACTATCTGGGTGCAGAAAAGGAGAATTTTTTCATTCCTCCAGAAGCTCAAGCAACATTAAAGAATATGTTTTGAAAAGCAACACTTTATAAGGCCAAGCAAGGCTAAAACTGTGGTAATTCAGTGCTTTAGGCACTAATTTTATATGGCTTCTAGGTTTTCATCATTGCAAGATTGGCGCCCTAGTTTACAAAAGCTAGGCTGTGTTATATCTTTTAAGATATAATTGTTTTATAT